TTGAAGCCACTTAGTGATATTAAAGATATGGATGATGACTCTGAAGATATTTATACTGGTCATTTGATCAAAAGATACACAAAGCGACCAGCTAGTCTTGAACACCTTACTCTAGCAGACTGGGCTGCCTGGTATGATGGCGATACAAAACCATACCTTAAGCAGTCTAAAGAACTTGACTCTGATAGCCTTCTTTTAGAAGTAGCTCTTAATGAAGTTAACGATGATGATTATAATGATGATGATGATAATCACACCCACTCTAAATGCAAATCTTCAAAGAAAAATAAAAGGAGGAAAATAGCTAGAATAATTAGAAGTGTATGTTTCAACAAAGAAACTGAACCAGAGAAATACTTTCGTGAACTAATCATGCTTTTTACTTCATGGAGAAATGAAAATACTGATTTGATCGGTAATTGTTCAACTTATCAAGATTACTTTTCTCTATTTGCTCATAAAATAAATGAAAACATGAAAGAATATGTTGTATGTAATGAAGACTTAAATGAAATACAAAATCACACAAATAGTACGGAAGACATGGACCATCAGTATGACCTGATAGCACCAAGTACTCAAAATGTTGAATGCCAAGATGAGGCTGAAGGTAATCAAGATTTACAACCTGACTTAAATGAGAAATACAATCTTTCTGATGACATTGGCATTCCATCAGCAGATTTAAATCATGAACCATTAGTTCTAAATGAAATGCAGGATGAAGACTACAGACACATAGTTCAAATGTTGAACAAAGAGCAAAAGGAATTTTTTTACCATGTATTGCATCTGATCAAAACATCTGATGAGCCATTTTATTGCTTCCTCAGTGGAGGAGCAGGAGTTGGGAAATCAGTTGTAACAAAGGCCTTGTATCAGGCAGCCTTAAAATATTATAATCAGAGAGCTGGTGTTGACTTTACACAGGTGAAGGTGTTATTACTAGCACCTACTGGTAAAGCTGCTAATAATATCAAAGGCAATACCATTCATACTGCTCTTGGAATATCTGCATTTCACTCTTTGAAAACATACAAAAGTCCTGACTCAAGCAGACTCAATACTCTGAGATGTCAACTAGGTCATATCAAATTGATATTTGTAGATGAGATATCCATGGTTGGCAACAGTATGTTTAATATTCAAATCAATAACAGACTGAAAGATATTAAAGGAAGTCAGTTGCCCTTTGGAGCTGTAAGTATTGTTGCTGTAGGTGACCTATTTCAACTTCAGCCAGTAATGGATGGTTACTTATTTAAAGACCTAGACACAGACTATAGTGTTCTTGCACCTAACCTTTGGCAACAACATTTTAAAATGTTTGAATTGCATGAAATTATGCGGCAAAGAGAAAGTAAAATGTTTGCTCAATTGCTTAACAGATTAAGAGAAGGTAAACACACTTGTCAAGATATCATGAAGCTTAAAGAAAGGTTAATAGATTCTGACAGTACTGCATATCTTAGTGTACCTCACTTATTCATACAGAATGTTAAAGTAAATAAATTCAATGACAGAGTTCACCATACTATGTCTGGTCCTAAGTTCTCAATCAAAGCACATGACACTGTTATTGGAGCTCAATCTCAGAAACTTAGGGAAAAAATACTGAAACAGATTCCACTTGATCAACCAAACAAAACAAGTCAATTGCATACAGTGTTGCACCTAGCTGTTGGTGAAAGAACAGATATCTCCCTCAATGTAAGAACTGATGATGGCTTGACAAATGGTGCTGGTAACATAATCAAACTTATTCAAACACAAGAAACTGGCAAACCTTCAGGTATTATTTGGGTACAATTTGATTGCCCTGATGTTGGTGAGAAAACAAGACATGATAATAGACATCTTTATAAGCAAGGCATTGAACCTACATGGACACCCATTAAACCAGTTACATCACAGTTTGCAGTGGGTAGAAATAGAACAGCACAGGTCTTAAGAAAACAATTTCCACTACGTCCTGCTGCTGCAAAAACCATTCACAGGTCACAAGGTGATACAGTTGATAAAATAGTTGTCAACTTTGATGCAAGAAAAGCAATACCTCATATTCACTATGTAGGTTTAAGCAGAGTAACAACAATAGAAGGCTTACACATAATAGACCTTTGTGAAGACAAAATAGCTGTAAATACTGATGTACAGAAAGAAATGGAAAGGCTGAGAACTGAAGCTAAATTACATTTGTGCATAAATCCCGTTTACAATGCTGATCAAGTGCTATTAAAAGTTTGTTATTTAAATGCAAGGTCTTTACATAGACATATTGAAGATGTGCAAAGTGACCTGAACTACAGTAGTACTGATGTAAATATTTTCACAGAGACAAGATTCTGTCACTCTGATGATGAGAGTGCATATATTATTGATAACTATAGTTTGTTTAGAAATGATGGTACAGTAACAACTACTAATCTCCGACCATATGGAGGAACAGCAGTTTATAGTCGCGTTGATTACTATCCTGGTTATCCGTACTCCTGTAATTCTCATGGGATTGAAATAACTGCTATCAGACTAATGACTGCTCCACACATACACATATTTGGCATATATCGCTCACCTAGTGTACCCTTTATTTTAAAGCTTTTAACCCTGTGTCCCCAATTAGTGCTATGTGCTAGGTTTTCACGACACATAAATAAAGTTCACTACTACTTCTACTACTACTACTACTATCGGTAAAGTTAGGTCATTCTGTTCGGTTCATTTGTAATGTTAATGTCGTGAATGAGTCGTATGTATGGAGCTGGTAGTAGTTGACACTAGTTTAGGAGAGTCTGGTCTAAGTTAGTAAACCAGCTTTCCAGAGTCAGTCGTTGAAAGTAGCTAGTGCTGTAGGTTAGGCATTGTAAGAGCCTCAGTCGATATTGTGGTTCGTAAGTCGATGATGTTCAGCAATGTGATTGTTGACATCACCTTTCCTCGTGGCCCCTCTGTGTTCAGTCAGTCTTGTTGTGAGGTTTCTGCCAGTCTCTCCGATGTAGGAGGCTTGGCAGTCGGAGCAATTGATCTCATAAATCGTTCCCTATCTGTTCCTTGGTTCATCCTTGTCTTTAACGTTGGTCAGTAACTGACGTAGTGTGATGATGGGTTTGTGGGCGACGCGGATATTGAAGGGTGTTAAGATGCGCGAGATGTTCTCAGACATGCTTTTTACGTATGGTATGGTTGCTGTAGTCATAGGAGTTGTGGAGTCGTTTGTTTTGGTAGTAGTAGTAGGTAGGTGAGTGTTTCATCGGATGAGGTCGTAGTTGTGGTTGATCTTTGAAAAAACAAGGTAAATGTATTGTTCTCATCGGATAAGCTGTCTGTCACGTTGCACACTAGTTGCGCGCATCGTGTTAGAGTTCTGATAGTTGTTGCTTTGTGTGATGTAGGGTTGTAGGATGCATCGTCAAGTAATCTGTTGGTGTGTGTTGACTTCCTGTAAACTGTCGTCCGTAGTGAGTTTTCGTCACAGCTTACCAGACAGTCTAGAAAATGAAGTTTGCCATTTTCTTCGACTTCTCCGGTAAACTGTACGTCCGTGTTTTGTCCATTAAGGTGGTGGTGGAATGCGTCGATTTTGTCGTGTCATAAGGCAGTGAATGTGTCGTCCATGTAGCGTCACCAAAGCGGTATCATTTGTGGGTAAGTCGAAGGGCCCTTTTCGACCTGCCCACAAACGATACCACTTTGGTTACGCTACGTTGACGAAACGATCACCGCCATACGACACAACGAAATTGATGCATTCCACCACCACCTTAATGGACAAAACTCCAACAAACAGTTCATCAGAGAAGTAGAAGACAATGGCAAACTTCCTTTTCTACACTGTCTGGCAAGCCGTGACAACAACTCACTATGGACGACAATTTACTGGAAACCAACACACACAGACAGATTACTAGACGAGTCATCCTTCAACCCTACATCATACAAAGCCACAATTATCAGAGTTCTAACACGATGTGTGCAACTAGTATACAACGTGACAGACAGGTTATCCCACGAGAAAAAATACCTCTACCGCGTTTTTTTTCAAAGAACAACTACAACGACAACTTCGTCCGATGAAACAACCACCGACCTACTACTACCACCAAAACAAACGACACCGCAACTCCTATGACTACAGCATCCATACTGTACGTAAAAGGCATGTCTGAGAACATCTTGCCTATCTTACAACCCTTCAATATCCACATCACCCACAAACCCATCACCACACTACGTCAGTTACTAACCAACGTTAAAGACAAAGACAAACCGAGGAAGAGACAGGGAGCGATTTATGAGATCAATTGCTCCGACTGCCAAGTCTCCTACATCGGAGAGACTGGCAGAAACCTCGCAAAATTACTGACTGAACACAGAGGGGGCACGAGGAAAAGTGATGTCAACAATCACGTTGCTGAACATCATCGTCTTACGAGCCACAATATTGACTGGGACTCTTACAATGCCTAACCTACAGCACTAAATACTTTCAACGACTGACTCTGGAAAGCTGGTTTACTAACTTAGAACAGACTCCCCTAAACAGATGTCAACAACTACCCGCNTAGTTCTTGTTATAATAGAAGATAACATGTTCATTTTTTCCCAGCTTGAAGATGTTTAGATTCTTAATTACAAAAGTATTCCCATTGGCCTGACGGCATTTAACCCTAAAGCAGAAATAGTTCGTTTGTCTCTGAGTTAAATAAAAATGCAGTGGTCATCTGCACTCAAAGATGGAACAGGTTCAATAACGTTTGTCTTGTAGGAAGAATATATTGATAAATTGGATGCCAACACAAAAAACTTGTTCAAAACCCTGAGGTTACAGGTCTCATAGAATGATAGAGTATCTTAACACTCCAAAGACTTTAGCCCAGAACAATCAGCTGCATTAGGAAGACCACTGGCTGATTTTGATGATATTATGGCTTTGAGGATAATAACAGCTCAGTGTGAAGTCATGGGCATACAACAAGCCACCAACAAAATTTCATGTGCTTCATGTTTTAAAAAAAAAATTAATCCCTTACACAGATAACATAATGGGAGATTGCAAGTCAAGTGTTTCCAAGCTGCAAGAAAACTGTTATAACACATACTCTCTGCATAATGGTCATTACTGAAAATAACAAAAAGTTTTGGTTCACTTTGTCACACCAACAGCTTCAACACCATTGAGCTGTGCTGGATCCAACTTTTGGAATAAAGAGAGAAATGACACCAAATGATAGCAAGCTCACAATTTTCTAAGAAAACAGAGAAATTGTTATCCAGTATGATGCCACTGACACCACTGCATGTCAGTTCACAAGTAGACCTCTACACTGACGATACTACCCTTACAGCCACTGCTCACTTCAATAATTTACCTGAATTTAAACTTTCTCTAAATACCGCCACAAATGAAATACGTCACTGAGCCAACTCAAATAAACTCCCAATCAACAACTCAAAGTCCAAAGTCCTTAGTCCTAACAATCACTAGAAAGCACCTGGTGTCTAAGATCAATGATGAACTTGTTGTCACAGTTGAGAAAAATAGGCTCATAAATGTAAAAAGTGCAACACTTTTAGGTTTAACAATTGATAGTTCACTCTCCCAGACATAGACATTACATGACTGTACCTTTGTCTGTACTTGCGAATGTCAGTGTTATTCCTAATTCATGCATTGTTACCTTCACCAGTTTGTGTCTGCTTCTCTCCAAATGCATCATCACCATTATTTTATTCACTCATTTCCAGCCAGCTCAGAAAACATAAGCCCAGTTTGTAGTCTGCTGGTAATCCAACCTGTGCTTGTCAACTCTTCTATACCAATGTACAAAAGAGCTGTTTCTCTTTGTCTGTTGGATTTCATTCAGGCAACACAAACTTCATTACCCAGCACCAAACAGTCTATCAGGAAGGACAAAGCTGAAAATATCCAAGGGACCATTGGAAAAATTCTCACAGACAGACTAATTGTTGTTCATTGCAGTACCAGAGAGACTCATGCACCAGATGTAGTTCAGGCAATAGTAACTGCCCAACTCATTGCTAACACAGCCTTTACTGCAATTGTGGCATGTACATCTTCTCCAGCAGAGAAGGATCAAGTAGTTGATCTAACACTGAGTAGAATAGATCCCTTTAGATAGATAGATAGATACTTAGATAGATTTTATTGAAAAACAATACATAGCAGCCAAGGGCTGAATTGCATACCATTGAAATGTAAATAATAAAATTACTAAATAATTATATAATAAAGTACTATTAAGATCGAAAAGCCACCTACAAGATCTAAAATAATTTCATACTGTATTTGTATTAAAACATGACTTAATAATAAAACTATTTCTTACACATTTTGTGTTTATTTTAGGAATGTCAAAATTGCGTGTTTGTCAAAGCGGATATTTGCAAGCCTGATGTGAAGGCAGCAATAATGCCCGTAACCTGTGAAAAGCGTGGCACACATATCACTGTGATGGCCCAAGTACGAATGATTCGAGTGGTATGTTGTATTCCATTTTTACCATTTGCTTAATAGTCAACAAGATAAAACATTGAACAATATTGAGAAATTAACCCACACTCTTCATCAAAGAGTTTCTATTTCTCAAACCAATAATTTACTTTCACCTGAATTCGAGTGACAGGATATCATACATTGTTAATAATATACCTGCCGAGTTCTGTGCCATACATGTAAGAGTACATTAGCCTAAATTTATGCAGTACCTGTCTTGAAATCAAACATAATTAAGAAAATGTTATTAAGCAACTTGAATTTCCTGTATGAATCCACCTTGACCTCTCACAACTTGTGCCATATCAATCCACTGAAAAAATTCACACAGTATTATCTACTATTATTCATCACTATTCCTTTAGACATGTAACAATAAGTTAACTCTAAAGATGAGAAATGCAAGAAGGAATGTTCCTAAATATAGTTTTTTTCATAGAGTTGTGCGAACATGGAACTCCCTTCCTCTTTCCATTTGTGAGGCAACAAGTGTAAATTCTTTTTAAGTCTTAGTTCAGGATTAGTCCATTCTCTTAATGTATTTATTGTTTAATATAAATTTATATCTATTACTGCCATATTTTAATCTGCATCATTATTTTCATTCAAGTACCATTGGTGTTCTGCTCTAATATGGGGTCTATGACTCTTTTGCATTTCATCCCTTGGCTTCTGATTTTTGTATGCCATAAATTGTAATAAATAAATAAATACCTACAGTCTTTGATGCTCTTGATCTAATCAGTAACAACTCATTCAATAATTTTGTCCTTTTATTTCAGAACAAAGCATAGTTAGTTATTTAAGTAACTTGTCGCCTATAAAGACCATGCAGCCAAAACAAGAATCAATATTTTTCACTAAATTTCCAAACAAACACTAATTAATTTAAAGTAAATCTTGCTGACTACTTCTCCCCAGAAAAGCATTCAGTGATCAAGCCCAAATTCGAGTCTTCACAACCTATTAGAATACAGAAGTCCAAACTAAAGAAAAACCACAAGACAGTGAAAAGGAAGAATTGATTCTCAACAAAAGAAAAAAAATTGAAGCTCCCCATGAAAGTGAGATGGATTTTGACCTCCAGCAAATAAACAAAGAAACCATGGTAGCAACAGACAGCTCAGTGGAGGAAATTCAAAGTTAAGAAAACAATACCCTGGTCAACATCGCTGGCCATATTTTATTTCATGATGCTGTGGAAATTGTGAATGTTCACAGAAAAACTTTGACTAAACAAGAAGTCCTCTTTACAGATAACAGTGGATCTCTGTGGCNTATTAGATCTGTTAGATCAAACACGAACTGGGGTCTACTCAGATCTTTTAATAGTACATTGACAGACTGGAATTCCCTCCCAGAAGACATGAAATGTCTACCCTATGATGCTTTTACAATTTCATTGCTTAAATATTTTGAATTTTAATAGGTTCCGTTAGTGTGTCATCTCTTGCACATCGATTTTATTATTTTCTGTTCATGTCATATTTTAGATATCTCATATTTTAGATATTTCATATTTCAACCATGAGTTTTTACTTATTAATTACGTGATTACTTATTTTATACATTGTTAATTTTGAGGACCTCACTGAAAACCGCTATGGCGAGCTGGGCTCCCTCTTTAAATATTTTTTAAATAAAATAAAATAAATAAAAAGGATAGATTGAGAAGATGTTGTATTAGAGAAATAAAAACAACAATTGAAGCTGCAATTCCCAACCAGAAGGAATTAACTAAGTTCAATCTAATTGAAACCACAAGTGCCTCTTGAAAGTCATGGACGGTGACAAGAAAATCCTCAAATGTTCTGAGTTTGGCCTAATGCAACTGAAGACCAAATGTCGCAGTAAAATAATGGCCAGTATTCTTACCATCACTGGAAAAACATGCCGCCTTCCCTAAATATAATTGATATGATTAAACAACTGTTTAATTTTAAAACAGAACAGGATGGGGAATTTGTGAAAAGTTTGCAGACCTTAATTAGTGATGATATCACTGAACTGCTTCATCCTGTAAAAGCAACAGTTGTATTCAATGACAAAAATGCCAAGAGGTGATCAGATCAGTGTAAATCATAAATAATTCTCTTTAAATTCAATATAGGCTGATAGTAATTTATAACTACTTTCTAAAATGTATTTTAATAGGTCTTTAAATTTCTAATTTTATTTTTTTAAATTACTCTAAAAGTTCTGTTAGCTGTATTCTATGCAAGTTGTTAGAAGTATATTTTTCAAAAAAAATTAACGTTAATTTTCAAATAATATGAAACAACATGGTTTTTGTCAACAGTGGCACCTGAAAACTACCAAGTAATGTTAAATGTTTTTCCAACACTTGATACAACCATCAAGGTTTTAATTGATGAATAGGAATTATTTGTTTCACAGTTGAAAGTGGGAAATTCCACTTGTTTCACTTAAGTTCAATTAGATGTCTCTCTTTGTATGTTGTGCTCTATATTTTTGCCAATTTCAAAGTAACTTTCGAACTATTTATGAGCATTTTTATTAAAATATGTTATTGTTTTTAAAAATGAAATCTAAAGACATCTAACTATCCCTGTTACAGTAGTTATTTCAGATATAGTCATCATTAATCATGTCTTTTCTTGGCTTTACTTCTTTCAAAGCAAAAAAAAAATAAATTTTACGATAGGTAACTTGGTCTCGTATGATGTGTCTTCTCTCTTTATGGAGGTTCCACTCGATGAAGCCATTGACCACATCATTCATGAAATCTACACCAACAACAAGCTACCACAACTCAGCTCATAAAAAATAAGGTTTGCATGGCCAAGCAAATGGAAGTGTGGGGAATGGACGCCTATATTTAAAAAGAGCGACAGATCTAGTTAGGAAAACTACAGACCTATCACAGTCTTACCCTGTGTTGGTAAGGTCTTTGAGCAGCTCATTGGCAAGCAAATTACGACTGACTTTGACAAACACATGTGTGTAAACTCATCAGCCTACCGAAAAAACTACAGCTGCGAAACCACGCTGATCAACCTGGTGGAGGGGTGGAGAGAGGCCAGAGATAAACATCTTTTCGTAAGCGTAATGTCGACTGATATGTAAAAAGCTTTCGACTCCTTAAATCCACCCCTGCTATTGAGCAAACTCAAAGCTTACGCCTTCCAGGGTAATATCATTGAACTTCTGAAAAGCTATGTATCGAACAGGAGAAATCGTGTAAAGTTAGGAAGCAATATCAGCTCCAACAGATTAGTCAGCTGTCCTCAAGGATCCGCATTGGGTCCTCTGTTGTTGAATATATTCCAAAACGATCTATCTTATCATGTTAGAGATATATCAATGTACGCGGATGACCATCAGTTTTACCATATAGGTCATGACCTACCCACTACTACATCCAAACTTAGGGACAGTACGGAAAAAGCAACCAACTGGTACGAATCTAATCTATTAGTTGGTAACCTTAAAAAATACCAAACCTTAATCATTGGTAGCAACAATAACTCTGAAAACAACATCGAAGAATGCACTATCTTAGTAAACAAAGAGAAAATCAACACAACCGCTACTTTCCAACTTCTTGGAGTCACAATTGACTCAAATTTGAACTTCAATAATCATATAAATACTATCTGTAACAAAGCCAGTCAAAGGATTGGTGTGCTTACGAGACTCTGCAACTTGATTCCAACAAATGCAAAATTACAACTTTTTAAGGCAGCAATTCTACTGTATCTAACCTACTGCCATCTCACATGGCATTTTTGTAAATCTAGTGATAGTCACAGATTGGAGAGAGATCAAGAAAGAGGCCTAAGGGCTGTATTCAAAGATAAACACTCCACCTATGAACGTTTACTGCAGAAAGCTAATTTACCTTCACTAGTAAACAGACGCTTACAGGATATATGCATTTTAGTGTACAAAGTTAAACACAACCTTAGCCCCTTGGATATTTGTAATATATTTCAGAAACACAATGCTTCCTATAATTTAAGACAGGCCGACTTTTCTATTCCTAGATACAACACAATAACTTACGGCAAACATTCACAATGCTATTTAGGACCAAAATTATGGATTAAACAGACAACTTGTGACAGATCAGCCACAACATTAGCTAGTTTCGAAAACCGCATACATAAGCGTGACCTCAGCTCCCTATTAGATGATGGCTGCAGGGGCTGTGCTCTATGTACTTCTTAATTCATTTCATATTTTTTCATACAATCATGATATGACTTAATTTTATTCTTAAGTAGGTAATATTCTTTGTAAATAGTTTTTATCCATTTTATTCGTGTCCCCACATTAGTATGGGATATCTCCCAAACTAGAAGGTTTTTTGACACATTAATAAAGTTTCTATCTATCTATCTATCTCAAAGTTACTCTTCAGACGCCTTCTCTGTAATGTCACCAAGAACACAGTTTTCAGTTTTAATGACAAGCTATATAAACAAATTGAAAGATGCAGCATGGGCAACCCACTATCTCTAGTCCTTGCAAATATTTTCATGGCTAAATTAGAAGCTGATGTAGTCCAACCTTTCAACCCGCCATTCTATGACCGGTATGTTGATGATTGTTTCTCTAGGAAGAAAAAGGACGAGCCTGACGTTCTATTTGACCAGCTAAATCATTATCACCCTAACATTGTTTTCACTGCTGAGGAAAACCCTGACCACTTCCTTGATACTGCCTTTAGTTATAACAACAAGTTCAATTGCAGCGTCTTCAAGAAACCGGGAAAACTACCAACACATTGGAAATCTGAGGTCCCTACCAAATGGAAAAGGAACTGCATCAGTGGTGCACTCCATAGAGCCAAATGCACCTCTACCAATCTTGACAAGGACATTAAAACTCTTGAAACATCTTTTATCAATGCAGGTTATCTCAAATGTTTCATTTCGCATACAATCAACAACTTTCTAAATGACTCATCACAAGATGACAACATCATTCCGAATTTTCTCTTCGAAGACCGAAAGAAAGTCTTCATCAAGCTTCCTTTTTGCAGTAAAAATGAAAAACTCGGTAAGACGTTTGTTAAAAAACTCAACCAGTTCACAAATTTTAATTTCATCTTTGTAATTCTGTGACAAAAAAGGTGAATTAAAAGCCTTTTTAACAACAAAGACAAAAACACTTGCAGATCCAAAGTTGTTTACAAAGGAGATTGTTCTTGTGGCATTGATTACATTGGCGAAACTGTGAGAAATTTAGCAGTACATATTGCGGAGCATTCAAATCCTACTCACATCTCTGAACCTGCAAAACACTTGCAGGAAAATCCATCAGATTCTTTCACCTGGCATGTTCTCTCCTCAGCAGAAACATTCCACAAGCGTAGGATTGTCGAGGGGCTAATGATCCAACAATTCTGCCCCAGTTTGAACAAACAAGTTATTTCTTATGTCTCCAAACTTTTCCCATTGGGAATCACACAAGATATAGGTATATATATATATGTACAGACGGTCATTATTTTCAACCCTGATGATGGCAAACAGCCGAAAACATTTGGTTTAAACATTTTAATTTATAATTTTTTCCTAATCTTTTAGCCTTGTATATATAATATACGATAGCAATGATTCATAAATTTCAGAAATGCCCTCTGAACTTAGCTGGTTAATATTTTTTTCGCACATTCTCCTGTCATTTGTTTATTTTCAAAGCCAACTCTTTCACCTGCTAACATAATCCTCACCAAACTTCACACATCATTGTTGTGATTATCATTGATAATGGGCAGAAGATAAGTTTGTGCATTCTAATGACACATTTCACGCATCATAAGCAATTAGAAAACAGGCCATCAAAACTAATACCTATAGACCAATCAGAGTTTTTAAAATTAATTACGACTCTCCCCCTCCATTAAAAAGAAAAATTCGTCGGACTGAGTATCGTTTGAGGTAAGAAAGGTGCTTAAATCTTAGTTTTGGAAACACCCTACAATTTGACACTGCTCTAAGAAATAAGGTCATGAATCACTGCATAAATTATGATTAGGATGTGCCGCAGCATTATCATCGTTTAGATATCCTAGTAAAACTATGACAAAATTACAAGTGTTAACTTTTTTTACAATATGTGTAACACACACGCTAGTCGAGTCTGAGTGATTAGAGCAACAGAAGCTAATAAAAGTTCATTCATCGACCAACGAAATACATGAAGAAATAATTGGTTTTAGCCTTGAGAGAGTTGCGTTGGAAAAGAAGGTAAGACAGGCGACTAAACCACTGCCACGCTCGCTGCACGAAATAGGAAATACTCAAGGTGCTTTGTTAGAGCTTGACCAATTTTCAAATTGGCGGATTTTATCGCGAAAAGTTCGATAATAACAACAGTATACAACGGCCGATATTTTCGAAATAGAG